TGCATAATACAGTGTAACATTTATCACATGTGATGTCTTCCTTTTTTTCTTATTGTTCTGAAATCAAACTTTTAATAAAAAGTAAAAGCTGAGTATAAACAACTTAAAACATAACTTCACACTGTCAAGTCGGCTTTCATTCTTTTATTCACCATGTCTTAGTACACCCTACTTCTTATTTTTAATTTTTGAACCCATCGACCGTCGACAATCTCATTACTGGTTTTAATATTTTACTTCGGAGGTAGAAAACTGAAAGAACGTAGGTATTTAGGTGTCGTCAGAAATAACAAAATGTAGTCAAACCATTGATCTAATATGTACTACGTACGTACTACGTACTACGTACTACACGTACGTGATGTTTGAAGCAAGCGTCAAAGCCCGCGGACTTAAATTTAGTTTGTGCCACAAAACGGTACGATGTGCCTCCTTTTTTATAGAATAAGGGTGGCAAACAAGCACAGAGTCGAACGGATGGTAAGTGCATGCTATAGCTCATAGGTACCTACATCTATATTTAATTTAGAATCGAAATGCAGATGCGTTGAAGTCTTCAAGACTTAGATGAAATGCCTCATTTCCAGTATAAAGCGTTTCCGGTTCTCTACCATACGAAACATTACAGCTATAATTTAGCTGCTATTTCAAGTTGATATTCTGTGAGAGCAGGATCCTTCCTCAGTCGAGCCGATACATTCGTACTACAACCATAATAGCTGCAGCGTAGCCCTACCACATATCCCGCCACGCTCTTCTCACTGCCACACAGATTAAGTTCTCAGTGATTGTTCTTGTAGGTAGTAGTTTTTCAATAGGAATGACCGAACTATGGCGGGGTGTACCTCTACCCTCCATAGCTCGAACTATGACAGTGTATAGCGCTTAATCGAGGATAGATGTAGATGTCTATGCGTACAAGCATCAAATTACCATCGCGTGGCTTGTGTGATCAATTGTCACCTTTATTTTATAAAAAAAGAAGATACTCGCAATGAGCGACACGCTTGGAAAGTGGTTTGACAACCGTAGTTTTTAGTATTCATTTATTTAAGCTTTATTTGCATAGCATGTGTACTAAAGTAATACATTCTCTCACGCGAACATGGCGGTAGTTATCAAGTACAGGAAACTAAAACATACCGAAAGAGATTACGTGTAACGTTGACATAACGCGACTACATCGCTGTTTACCAAAGACAGTCACATTGCCCTCATCCAGGTCATAAGTAAATGTCGTACTGTCAGGCGTATCTTTGCGAAAATACATTATATTTGTGATAGCACTATCGCAATAAGCTAAAACGCATCAAAACCTAAATCACGCTATCAAAGTCCCTAAGTACTGCGGTATAAATAGAATAGCGCTGCACCACCTCACGGAGTTTTGGCCGTTCCCCACCGTTACCTTGTACGAAATTTACACTTCTCCAAGGCCAAATAATAAAAATATTAATTCAAGTAAAATATAGCCGCTCGCTGCCTAAGTGGGGAGCGATTGCGTCAGCTAGTTGTATAAAGGCAGTTATTTTGGCTTTGCCATTCTGCGTCCTCCTTTCTGCCAAGGAAGGTCACGTCCCTCTACGGCTTAAAGATCTCTCGTCAGATTGGTAAGCCAAACAAAAGGAGGGGTTTAGTGGGTAAAAGTCTCCACATAACCATGCAGCCGGCTGCGTGGTATGCTATGAGCATTCTCCACCTCCCTCCCCCGTTACCGGAGGGTTGCCCTTAATTGCTTCGGGTGAAAAAGAAAAACTTTGCCATTCACTTAGTGGTCAGCCGTCGCCGAGTCTATGTCTTCTGATGATGCCTTGTTTAGAGGCGTTTGGTGTCTTGCCTAGTGTAGTGATGTTGGGAGCAGTGATGACGGGGACAATGCATGTAATTGAGGAAGGCCGGTAGGTTCTCTTCAAACTATGTAGAAGACACAGCATTTTTAATTTTTTACACGGCTCTTTGCTAGTCAATTTTTAGCATCTATACTTAAAAATGGCTTAAGACATATTGTGTTGACAACGATCTTTTGTAGGTACTAGAGTACTTTGGTACTCGCTATTCGACTCGCTTTTCTACATATTTTTATTCTAATTAATCTTAAAATATTTTTTTTAATTAAAAGTATTTAATACGTGAGTTTAATTTAAAAATAATATATAATTTTACGCGCACCCATTTGGCAATATTTACATTTAAGAAATTTAATATCAAAGACCATTTATCTTATCAGTCTTTCGTTTTTACTTTAAGTCGTATGTTTTTCGGAGTTAATATATTTCACTCCGGGCATCGGTCTTTATATTTTCGTCAAGTTTCATAACAATCGGTTTAGCCATCCCGACAGACAGACAGTCACAAAGACAGAAAATTTAAAAAATGATTATTCATAGTATCTTAATGGCAAATAACTTATTCAATCAAACAGTTCACTAGTCCATTGACATTTGCATATAAAATACATTAAAATCAAAATGTTAATGCGTTGTCAGCCCTTAAGACAAAAATGGAATGCCTAGTTACTAATAACAAGGTAATTGTATGAAAAAAGCTGTCCCTGGTTGTTACGGCTCATAGTGTACATGTTGTGCTGATTAAGTAAAACTCCGCAAATTGTTTTTTAAGTTCATTGTGACGCAATGAGATATAAAAGACAAAAATGCCTCCTTTCTTTGTTGTTTTAATTAAATGGAACAAAGCTCGCATTTCATAGGAGATAAAACGCCGGCATGGACAGACGGACGTGACTCCGCATCCCTAACGAAAAATTTACAATCGAGTCAAGGTTGACTACCTGGTACACCGAGGCAGCCATTCTACGATATAAATGTTATAGTACAAAAAACGACCTGAAAGCGTTTTATTTTAATTAGGTGTTAAATTTTCCACGCGGTTATAACACAATAGCTACAACATTTCCGTCCTATTAATGTAGCAAGGTCAATAACGGGAAATGTTGCATACGTGGTAGAGTCACGCTGCAGCTATATTATGGTTGCAGCACGAAGTAGTTGATTAGACTGGGGTCGGACCACGCTTTTACGGAATACCAGCGTGATAAAGACAGGATGTTGTTGAAAGACTCATTGTTTCCGATTCTTTTCAGTTCGGAGCAGAGACACTTTTTACTAAAAACGAGGTACTCCATCTTAGTCCTCAGGGGTAATAACACATCTTCATCATTTTAGTTTTTAGTTAAGGATGAATGTAAATGTCTATGGGCATCCACTTACAATCAGGTTAACTGTGTGTCCATTTATTACACTTATACTTTTTTAAATATTCGGAAAATTGATTGAATTGAAAATGACTTGTGTTAATTGTGCGCGCCATTTTGAATTTACTATTGAATATTAGATTATAACCTAGACCACCTCGAATTTAGTGTCTGTTTTGACGTGTTACGTGACGGAGGCCTACTTGGAATTTGTAGTGATTAAAGGAACTTCTATGTCGTTAATTGCATCGACGCGTTAGTAGCTTTGTGCTACGTGAGCCTGGGACAGTGAACTTTGACCAACCGTCCTTGAATTGTGCCGCGTGTCTCTGTTTAAAGTCGATTACCTTATTTTGGTTGAACTTGAAGTTAATTAATTGTACAACAAAGTGATAAACTAATATAGTGAAAGTAGAAGCGGAAGTTTTCCATTGCTGAACGCCCCCTGGATGGATCACACATTTGGAGAGAGGCAATCCTTGGGATCTGCTGTCCAGCATCAGCGGGGATGTCAGGTTACACATTGAACACTTTACTGAACACAACTTACATGCACCTCACTTTCACCTGACTATTCCTGTGGTTATCCCCACTTCTGGAATTAGGTAAGTTTTGTGTTGCGTACCTAACCTTTCTAATTTATTTATCCATAGGCCATTTCGGGCACGACCTCCTGTTACCCGTCGAGTTGGAATCCTGGTAGGCCCGAGTTCAACGACCTTTGTCAGGGTAACTTTACGCTGTAACACCAGCCAATCCGAAATTAATCCGAATCAAACAGACAGAGAAAATTTTTACTAAAAAAGTTGTTTCGAAAAAACTTTTTAAATATAATATATCCCAGATCACTCCTGGCATTGTTCTCTGTATTATGCCCTCAAGGTGTTTTTTTTTTCACCTGAAGGAAATAAGGGCAACCTTCCGGTAACGATGGAGGGCGATGGTGAATGCTCATAGCATACCACACAGCCGGCTGTGTGGTTATGTGGAGACTTTTACCCACTAAACATCACCTTTTGGGATTAGCTTAACGATCTGACGAGAGATATTTAAGGCTTGTATTCACGCTAATGGCCTTGTGCATTTGGGCGGAGCTAATGACCCCTCTTCGCGCCACTCCGCTACCCGCATGCGACAGAAAAGGTGCGCCGCCGCCTGCGCCTTGCCGCCACTTGCGTTGCCGCGCTTTGTCTCGTCACAGAGTGGTGAAATCACAGAAAGTCAAATCATCGTGAAAGTTAAATTAATTTTATGTGTAGCGCATTTATAGTGGTCCAATTTTGTTTTTATTTATTATCTATTGACATGGATGTACTTTTCGGGCTATAGTTACTAATAAAATTGTTAAACGTTTTCGAGGCCGCGGGTAGAAACTATACCTTTAGTACGAGTATAAATCAGCCTGGCTTGAAACATGATGTATCTTTTTAATTATATTTTATATAAATAGAAATGAATGGCTAAATGTATTGCTAAGCGCAAAACTCAAGAATGGCTGGACCAACTCGGTTAATATATTTTTATCAAATATTCTTTAAAGTCTGAGAAAGGTTTCTAGGTAGGGTAGGTAGGGTAGGTAGTGTAGGTAGGTAGGTAGGTAAAGTAGGTAGCTAAGTAGGTAGAATTAGCACAAGTGTATGTCATATTATATGTTGTATTTTTTATAAACAAATAGAATATAACTAAAATTCACTGAAATTTAAGTTTCTTTCACCAAGTATTTTTATTCTTTTGGTTGGTTGAACTTCTTGATCCTCACTTATTTCTCTGTGTTCACATATATTTACATTCAGAAATTTCGATAGCCCGACAAAATCTTCTTTTTTTCTTCTTCGTTCTCGTTGTCTTCATTTTTCTCTTTAACCTCTTTTTCTTTCCTTAGTTCTATTTCCTTCTCTTTGTCGTTTTCTTTTTTCTCTTGTACAGCGTCTTCTTGTAATTCATTGTCTTTTTTATTTTGATTTAAATCATTTTGTTTTCTTTTTTTGGGTAGTTTATTTTTATTTGCGCTTTCTTCCACATCCTTTTCTATATAAATAGGGTCTGTAATTTTCATTTTTCTCGTATGTCTTGGATCAATGAGTTCTGGTAATATGCAATCCAAATAAAACCTAGTTAATTTATTTTCTATTACGTCTTTCCAGAACTTGTCATCTTTTTCTATTATATCAATTTTCGTGGGAATATTTTCACCCAGCCAAAGTCCAAAAAGGCATCTTATTCTTTTGGTTATGTGAAGCTAACCCTGAATCTGGTAATACTAATTATGATTGGTATTAATAATAATCGTACCAGTTTTATCGGTTTTGTAAAAGGGTATTTTTTTGTAACTGCTTCGGTAAAACTTAGTTGGTGAGCTGCAACCGGGCATTTAATTTCTACCACCATGTTTTCCTCGACACCTATATCGTTAGGAGTAGCGGCAAAATATGGCAATTCGTCGTCAGTAAATAAACCGCATGGTTGTATAACCAATCCAGTGTCTTTTGAAATTAGCTCAAGAGCTATTTTTTCATTTTTGGTCCCATGTTTTATTGATTTGACGTTACTAATGCTATCTTTATATAGTAAATCTTTTACTAGGTTACTACAACTGATATTTGAACGCCACTTTATAATTCGGCCGAAGTTAGAGGCTGTTAACAGTTTCCTTCTCAATTCCAGGCATTCACTGTATAAACTCTGTAAAATAGTATCTTTTTCAATTTTTTCTCTTTCTTCTTTGCTTTTCTTTAAATTATTGATGAAAGTAATTTTTTCTTTCTCCATTATTTCTGGAACTATATCCTCTCTAGCACAATTTTCACCATAATTTATATCTTCCCCTTTGCTAAATAATAATCTATTCCTTTTTCTCACGCCTTTTGCTTTTAAGTATTTTTTTTCAGTAACCTTCTTTGCTCAAGCAGCTTCACTTTTCCTTTAGAACTTTTCCGGTGGCATATTTATAAGTCGTTGATAATAATGCACGAGTGTTATAGGATATTGCGGCACCTTTGCATCTGTTTTCATATCCACCTTTCAGGCTATAATTTATACGTTTTCCGCCAACTAGTTTAGCGATTATGCTATTGTAACTTTCAGCTTTATTACTTTTCACATTATGTATGAGTTTGGGTACGTGAGATGCAACGTTTGACATAATTTGGCAAATTTTGCTCCAAAGAGTGCTTGTCCTAAATTCATTATCGCTAGTGTCTTCCGTATTAGGTTTGTTGCAGAAATATTGTTTGCAAGCACTATGGTCACCAAAGGCATGTATAAGAGTCTGTAATATATCGTTATAAAGAAGTTCAACGTGTGCTCGTTTCTCGGATTCTAAATCGGATGTTTGCTTTTCAATTGCCTTTTTTATTAAAAATCTGATTGCCTTTACTTTTTGGTCTGTAATATTTTTTCTATAACGCAGAGGGTACTTGGAGTCAGTTTTCAATTGTGATAGCTTATTACATAAATTTCGCATTATGTGATTTTTGCACTCGATTTTTTGTACTGTTGTATTGCAGTATGGACGAGTTTCAATGATTTTGGAATATGTGGTGGAATCTCCATCACTTATCATCCTTCCATAAATCATCCCGTGCATGTCAATGGAACATTTAAAAGGACCTGTATAATTTTTAAAATATTTATGTTCACGAGGCAAAACCTTTTTATACTCTGCCTGTGCGCAAATACAACAGTACTTATTTTTAATACCGATTAACAGAATCTTCTCTGTTTTTTTTCCAATAATGACTGCTGCTCCTAATAACGCGGAGTAATTTTTTCTATAGCTGCGTTTACTCCAACAACCGTCGACAATTACGTCAATAATAGGAACACCATTTTCATCTATACGACCTTGCAGTAAGGCAAACTCTCGTTCTTCTTTCGCGGCATCGGTCATTGTTTTTAGTGAAATTCCTTCCCACATATTCGATATGTTTTCATGGTATTTTTGGTACATGTTGAAAGTAAATCTAAAGAGGCAGATAGCTCTTGGAGTTGTGAATGACCACAACCAATTGCCACTGTCCCTAAAACTGCACAATTGTTGATGTTCATTTCACTACGTTCATCGCTGGAAATAAAAAATTTCATGTTGCATAATTTGCATTGAAGCGTAAAAGTTGATTGATAACCGGTTTTCAGAAACAATTTCCACGCTACCGAGACACAATTGAAAGGTCCATGCGAAGATATCTCTTGTAATTTTGAATAAAAAGTTTTTAAATTGAGAATTCCTTCAAGTTGATATGTTTTCTCAGAAGATTCGGCCGTGTCTACCTGTAAATAATTAGTATGATTTTAAGCTAAAATTTAATTATTCAAGATGTTTAAGTGCATTGTAAGATCAAATCGATAGTGCATACTTCACAAGGAGCTGAATAATCTTCAAGTTCTTCAACAGACCTTACAACATGCTTGTGAGTCAACATGTCAATCGGTGGAGAACGTGGTTTTTGAGTGCCCAAATCATCTTGTGCCTAAAATGAAAGCAGTTATACATATAGTTACAATAAAAACAAAAATAAAATATGTATATGTAGTTATTACAAATTACACTTACATTCACCTCCATATGCATAGAATCACTTTCAACTTCTCTGATAGAGCTAACTGATTAACTACATAAGGGTAGTGATTTTTTTATTTGACTTACCTCACCAAAACATTCCTAAAAAATATTTATATGATTAGATAAATAAAATTGCATGTCAAGTTTATTTCTTTGTATAATATATAATGAATAAATAAACTATATAATGAATAAATAAAAAAAGATTAAATTAAAACATAAACATAATATATTTATTATTGAAAATAATTAAGCCGGTAATCGATAAATTAACAAATTACTAGGAAGTACTTAACCTATAATCATAATTAATACCTACTTCAGGAGCATTTTCAGTTTTGCCAAAGTTTTCGTCGGTAGTTGTAGCTAAACAAGACCTGCAAAAAAAATTTACTTGTCATAAATAATCACAACGAATCAGAATAAATTAATAAATAAATATACTTTAAATAAGTACTGAAAAGAAAAATTTATAATAAGTATTGACTGAAAGTATTGAAAGTATTGCGTGAATATGGTCCTTCTGTGATCATTCACTACTCTATGGCACAGAAGTATTATACTTACGACGACTTTGTTTGAATATAGGTATTTTATAAACAGCACCTGTCTAATAATATGTAGATAAAACTTAAAACTTACCTTGATAAATGTATACCCCTTTTTTGTAATATTTTTTTAGACCTCTCTTCAATCGTTTCTGCTTATTCCCCATGTTTTACAAACAAAACTTAAACACTAACAAAACTGTACAATTAATATAACTATAAAACACTACTATTAAACAAGAATCAGAAAAAACCTACTCCACTATTAACAAAATTAAATTTTTGCAGTAATATTTTACGATTTTATTTCGTAGTGCTGAGCTCTCGCAATACGGCGTACGTCCACCTAGCAACACGATGCACCCCGCACTGAATTCGTGGACTAGTGCGAGGGTGATATAGACGCAGTATTTAACCGGGACGCATTTTTAATTTATTATCATAAAAAATAATACATATTTCTAAAAAGTAACCAAACTAAATTATTTTATTTTGTATTGCAGTAGATATTTTTTTTATATTCCTTTGATAAAAAAATGAAGGAGTAAAGTGGTTTCATCTCAACGATTTGGAGGTGATTTGGGTATTTTTTTATTTATTATGTGACACCGATAGAAAAAATTATGGCTAAACCAAATTACGTATCATATCATGTAGATTACTAGCAATTTTTTTTCAGATGTAATTTCTCTGTAAGTGCCGACGAAAATTTGGTTCATCTGCAGGCTTTTTTCAAGCTTTTTTCGAGAGAGCAGCCTTAAGCCGTAAACGGACGCGACCCTCCTTGGCAGAAAGGAGGGCGCAGTCCTCAAGGTTTCTCAACATCTCAACATCTTCACAATCTCAACAGACAGAATTCCTTGTCTGTCTGTCTAACAGACAATGAATTTAAAAATGGTAATTAATTACTTAATAGCATGCAAATTATCCCCTAAGCTCAATAATATGACGGCTTCGTAGTGCGGTGGCTTAGCAATAAGTGGCTGCGCTGGAAGCCGCGGGTTCGAATCCCGCACGGAACAAGTATTTGTATGGCCTACAATACAAGGGTCTGGATGTTTATCCTTGTGCAATTTATATATGTAAACTGCCTCTACGATGCAGGAGAAAATCCTAGTGTGGGGGGAAACTTTTTTTAAAAGAAAAAACATAAAAAAATAAAAAAATAAAAAATAAAATAGCAGTTATTTGGACACGTCAGACAGATACCTACATTTTATATATATGTTTGGATAGATAAAAATATAGAATATGCTTTAGTATATCTACCTTGAACATTTTCTACTAATTTGTTTTAAAAGCGCATACAATATCCCAGGAATGAAATACTAACGCCAATCCACGGTAGGTGTCGGTTCAGATATTCTAACGTCGTCAGAAACGGCTTAGGATTGTAGAATGTTCCGGAAATGAAATACCATACTAGGATAACGATTTCCTGCATCTGAAAATTAATGGTCGTGGAATTACTACTGCTGTCCGCTTATGAACACTCGCTTCAGCTAGCCGAGCGCTCACATAATATTCTCCGTAGTTTCTTGTTCTGAAACACGGTACTTGAAATTTCTATTAAACAAATCATATTAGAACTATTTTTTTATCATACGCTCACAGTCCACCTATATAAGTGGATGCTAAGGCCTGTAGACATCTATATCTATCCTCGATCAAGAATTAAAATGCAGTGCGTTTTTACTCCTGAAAACCAAGATGGAAGGTCTCCGCTTCTTTACCCACACAATATGAAACACAGCAGCATTAAGCTGCTATTTTACGCTAGTTTTACGTGAGACTGTAGCCCTTCTCGGTCAATCTGTCCCATTCTTGCTACAAAGATATTATAGCTGCAGCATGGCTCTACCACGTCAAAAACTACATATTGTATTAACCGCCATGGATGTTTTATATGATAATGTGCAATGCAATTTATAATTAATCACTATCATGATTAGGGTGGTATTCGAACTAATCTAGTTTGCAGCGCAGTGTCAGTATCCACGCATAGTGCAGCGCAATTTGCGTTGGGTCATTTTTGGCAGTTAGACATTTTCACATTCGGCAGTTAGGCTTTCTTTCATGATTAATTTGCCTTCGTCCTTTCATGGTAAAGCCACGATGCAGCCACTTGTCATATTTTACATATTCTTACCATTAATATTTCAGCCTATAAACAGTCCACTCCTGAACATAGAGGAAGGAACTGAACGTAGGAAGACGCTGATGCACATCTTCTCATGTTGCATTTTTCCTTTGTCGCCTCTAACGACATGAAATTATATACGGCAGTGAATATTACACCGCCACTACGCGGTAAACAAGCTCATAGTATTAAATTAAATACGCAACAAAGGTTGTTTATTAAGTTGCATCAAAGAAATTCGCGATGTGGAAGAACAAAGACTAAGAGACAAGGTAAAAAATCCTTTACAATGTAAAAACTCGCGCGGCAACGTTCCAGCGGCTCGCGTTACCGCGGGCGGCGCGAGGCCTGCACTACGCGCGGGTGTAAATTAGTTCAATTGCTCGCCCCTTTGTTGCTATAAGTGCTCCCGCCGGAAGCGGGCAGAGAATGTTGCATTATAAACTTTTAATTACGAAAGGAAACTGTTTCCTCGCGACGGCTCCTGCAAAGTTGCTGCGGAAAATTATTTTACACTTTCATAATAACGGTAGTAAGCTTAGTTAATAAGGTATGAAACACACTTGTTTCTGTCCATTTAAAGCTCACTGCTGATTATAGATAGCTGCATAGAGCGTAGTTTTATATCTAACAGTGGTAGAGCCAGCAGCAGCTTTCAATGTCGCGCGGATTGGCCAGCTCAGCTCGGGGTGGTACTACCATACTGTGAGGGATCACATAAAACTAGCGTGAAGTAGAGATTTACCTCTGCGTTTCGCTTGGTGAGTGCAGGTGGCCGGAATCATCCCCCCCCCCCCTTAACATAGTACTGGAATCAATTGATAAACTACGCCAGGAGGGTACCAGCACCCCTGGTGACGAAGAATCCCTCGCTGAGCAATAATCGTGAATGGCCAAGTTATAATATAAGCGTAATTCTGCTCGCGACTAAAAATGCTCCTGGCAAGCGGAGCAATAACACCAAGGCGACCCCTGCCACACTATCCGTGAATTTTTGCAACATCCAGGGACTTCGTTGCAAATTTAACGCTGTCCCCTACCATCTGGAGATGGCAAAGCCGGCCTTGCTCTTTTTAATAGAGATTTAGGGGTCCTTTCCAACTGATAATTCATATACCTCGGGCTGGAGTTTGCGTATACGTCAGAGAAGACATCTGTTTTCGACGCATCGGCAGTCTTGAATGTACGGACCTGTCCATCCTATGGCTGCGCATATACAGCGACGTATATCCCCGCGTCTGCGCGGGTGCCTCTATAGGTCCCATAGCGGTAATACCGAAACAGACCGACTAATCAACCACGTCCAATCAGCTAAAGATTCCGTGCTACAGCAGAGCCTATCCGCAGAGACTTTGTCCTTGGTGACTTTAACGCCTCTCACGCCAAATGACTCGGTTCACGTTTAACCGATCATGTTGGGAGATCTGTTTATGACTTTGTCTTGGCATATGGTCTGACTGACCGGTTACATCGCCTACGTGGATTCTAGATGTGGAAGATCATACACCTTCCCTGTTGAATTTTCTGCTGACCTCTCATTCGGACAGATATCAGGATACCGTTGACGCCCCTTTAGGTTCGTCGGACCATTGTCTAGTCCGGAGTGTGATGCCACTCACGCTGAAATCGCAGTTGCATTCTGCAGGCTGACGCCGTGTTAGTGTGTT